AAAATTGGCGTGTGTGTTTGTGAGCGTGTGAAAGAGATAGAATTAGAGAACTGGAAGAAGTGAGGAAGGAGGTTTGAGGGCTGAAAAATAGGCAAAAATAATGAGTAAAGAAAGAGATGGCTAGAAAGTTTTCTAACAAAATTCATATAGAGGCAAAAAAGGTCATGAATTTCAAGATTTTAGAATATATGAAAATAAATTTTTTTTGCACAAATGAAGCCAATAAAGGCTAAGATTAAAAAGGAAACTGGCAAAAAATCTTTTCAGCAACTTTCTCTGATAAAAGTCTCATTTCCAAGATATATAAAGAAGTGATTCAAATTAATAAGAATAAGAGTCATTCCCCAATTGCTAAATGGTTTAAGGATATGAACAGATGGTTTTTAGGGGAAGAAGCACAGACTATCTATAGCCAAAATTTTTTAAAAGCTCAAAATCATTACTAGAGAAATATAAAGAAATTCTGACATGCCATCTCATACCTATCATCCATTATGACATTGAAAATGATAAATGTTGGAGGGGCTGTGGGATGTGCTATTTGTGGGCTTGTGAATGGGTCTAATTATTTCTTTTTAATTTTTAATAGTATTTTATTTTTCCAATTATGTGTAAAGGCAATTTTAACATTCATTTTTTAAAAATTTTGAGTTTCAAATTTTCTTTCTCCCCTCCCATCTCCCTAAAAAGGTAAGAATTTAAAATAGGTTATATATGTGCCATCATGTAAAATATATTTCCATATTACTCATGTTGTGAAAGAAGAAATGTATCTAATCATTGTGGAAAGAAATTGGGAATTATACACAAAAAGTGACTCAACAGTGCTGGATCTAGACCCAAAAGAGATAAAATATTTATATTTATAAAATATTTATAAAACTCTTTTTTGTGATGATAAAAAACCGAACAACTAGAAGCTAAAGGGATGCTCATTAACTGAAGGTTAAATAAATTGTGATATATGATGTGATGGAATACTATTAGTACTGGAAGAAATGAGGCAATACATGAGTTCAAAGACACATAGGAGGATTCATATGAACTGATAGAGTGAAGTAAGCAGAACCAGTAGAACAATTTATACCATGATATCAATATTGTAAAAACAAGTAGTTTTGAAAACTTTAATAAAATGGTGCTGAATGAAATGAGCAGAACCAGGAGAACAAATTATATGCTAACAATACCATAAAAATGGACAACTTTGAAAGCTGTGATGGCTACGATCAATACAATGACTGTCTGTGATACCAGAGGACTGATGATGAAACATGCTATCTCTTTCCTGACAGAGAAGTGATAGTTTTAGGGTGCAGCAATGAAAAAAAATATATATTTTTTGTATGTATTTGATGAGGTAATTTATTTTGCTTGACTTTACATACTTTTTATAAGGAATTTGTTTTCAATTGTCTTTGTTTTTGATAAAGTGAGAGGTGGGAGGTTATTGCATTGATTCAGTTCTTTAGTTTTCCTTTACAGTTTTTCTGTCCCATATAAATTGTTCATATAAATTGTGACACTTCACTCTGTGTCAGGTCATACTACTCAGGATTCTCAGAAATCATCTCTTTTGTAATTTTATACAGCACAATAATATTCTATTACATTCGTGCACCACAATTTATTCAGTCATTTGCCAATTGTCTAAGAGATTCTAAGTCACCCCACCCTGTTGGATACTGCTTTATTTTTCTCCCCCTCCTCCTTTTACTATCACTTTCACTACCAGGAAGTTTATTTTGCTTGTGACCACTCTTTTTCTAGGATTACCTTTTTTAGTATCATCCTTGACATCCCCTGCTCCTTCTAGTTACTTGTTTCCCTGCTGAGTCTGATGTACATTAATCATCAACATAAATCAACATCAACATACATCAACATAAATACAAAATGTGGGTTTACATGTTCAATCCTTCTTTGTCCATTTCAGATAAGAGTTAGGGTCATCTGATACTCCTCTCACACTTCAAATCTAACCTTAGACACTTACTATGTGACACAAGACAAGTCACTTAACCTCATTTTGCCTCAGTAACAGCACCTACGTCCCAGGGTTGTTGTGATAAGCAAATGAGATAATATTTATAAAGTGCTAAGCACAATTCCTGACAAAGAGTAGATGTTTAATAAATGCTTATTGACTTCCCCTTTCCACCATGATTGTATATTATTCTTATACACCCCAATTATGAGAAATAGAAAGTACTGAAGGGATACTTATTTCTTCTACTGTTAGAATGGTAGCATTACATTATCATACAGTTCCTTCCAATTGCTCTAATATATTTACCTTTATAGGTAAATTGATCTTCTGGACTCTTGTATTTGTATTTCAGAGTTCTTACTCAGCAACAGTATTTTCATCAGAAATTCTTGAGAGTCCTTTATTCCATTAAAGATCTATTTCCCCCCCTCACTAGATTATATTCAGCTTTGAAGGGTAACTTATTTAAACTCATGTCTTCTGCCTTTTAGAATATTGTATTCTAAGATCACCTCTTATTTTGAGTAAGATAGTAATGAGTCTTGTGTGATCTCAACTCTAGTTTTTCAGTATTTGAACAGCTTTCTTCTGGATACTTGCAGTATTTTTTCTTTCAAAATGATAGCTCTGGATTTTGGGTATGACATTTCTTGCACATATCCTTTTGAGATTCCTTTCAGGAGGAAAGGAATCTTTCTAAAATGACTAGCTCTAATATATCTGTAGAATTTTAATTTATTTCTTGAAACATTGTGTCAAAATCTTTAAACAAATGATTTTCAGGGGGTCTAAGAATTCTTAAATTATAATTCCTTGACCTGATTTTTAGGTCAGTTACTTTTTTACATCAAGTATCTTACATTTTCTTCCATATTTGCAACTTTTTGATTTTGATGTAATATTTCTTGCTATCTAATGGAGTCATTGATTTCCATTTAGTCTATTCAGGGAGGCCATTTCTTGGGCAAAGTTTAGCATTTTTTTCCCCTAAGCTACTTATTCTTTCATTCTTTTTCCTCTAAAACTTTTAATTTTTATCTCTTGCTTCATTTCTGGGTATCCATGAAGTCTTTGTGGAAAATACAATCAAGTTAGAAAGGTCCCTACCCTGGTACTTTTTTCAGGGGAGCCCTCCATTCTTGCTGCCTCTGGCCATAGAGCATTGTACATGTCCCAACTCTAGTCATGCTGGGAGACTATTCTGCACTGATGCTGGCTTTGGTAGAAGAGCCCCCTTTCATATTGATTCTGGCTGACTTTTTATGTAGTTCTGGGGTGGAAGAAGCCACTTGTAATTTCTCACTAGGTTTCTTGATCATTAAGCTCGGCATGAGCTTCAAGGTTTTGCTGGAGTAGTTACATGTGAGCTGGGTGGTTTGGCTGCAACTCAGGCAGCCATCTTGGCAAGAAGTCCTCTATGCCACTTTTTGAAGGCAAATATTAGTAGTAATACATGTGAGGCTACTCATTCCAATCACGTGACTTTGAGTAACACAATCACATTGTGTTTTGAGTAACTATCAACTTGAATTCTTCTGAGGTCAAGGTGTACAATGAATTGTATATCTCATATTGCTTAGATATAAAAAATGGAAGACTTTCTGAACAAATTTGGACTTGAAAATGCTAAAATTTTAATACTAAAATCAGATAGGCATATTGTAAGTTATGCCTAGATGCATCAAGCTATGTGTTGTACTGGAAAGTACACTGAATTTGAGTAAAAACAGACAGGTTCAGTTCCTGGCTCTGACACTTCCTAGCTATGTGACCACGAGCAAGTCTTTTAAACTCTCTCAAACATCGGTTTTCTCATCAGTAAAATAGGAACAATAATACTTGCACTAGTTATCTAGTAAGGTTATTGTTAGAAAGGTACTTCATAATTTTTAAAGCTTTATATAAATACGAGCTACTACTTCTCAGGAATCTACAAATGGATTATCTGTAGTAGGTTGGCAACTTTTCTCCTAGGCCTACCTGAGTCCTAGGCTGAGGACAGTAGAAATGAGCTAAACTAAGAAAAGGAAGATAAATGGGTTGAGAGTGTTACGTGACCTAGTGTCTTAGAGTACTTTAGGTGAAAGAGAAATTATTTTAAAATAATCTATGATTCTTCTCCTTTTCATCAGCATGAAGAGTCAGTGACAAAACTATTTCATACAGTATTATTTTCTGACTCTAAATGAAATCCTTGAAGGAAATTCTTGTCTTCTTTCAAGGACCAACTGAGAGGCCATCCCTTCCATGAAGATTTTTTTTTATTTCCTGCCCAGCTAGAAGTAATCTTTCCCTTTTCAAATTTCTCAGGCTATTCTGTTTCAACTCTCCTATATATCCACTGAATTTTAACTTGTATTAGAGTTATGAGTGCACTTATCTTATTTGTCTCTACCCCAAAGATGAGAAATTCTTCAAGGGAAGGGCTGTTATTTATCTCCAATGTTCAGCACAGTGCCTTGCATGTAGTAGATATGTGATAACAGTTTCTTGAAGGGATTGGCAGAGAAGACATTATCAAGTGTAAGTATGATTAGAAAGGAAGTAGACCAGCCATAGGCCCAAAGTGATGGATAACAGATGGACAGACCAAGTACTCTGATGTGTACCCACAAAACATCAAAATAACAAAACTGGAGGAGGTTCTCCAGTACACTGGCTGGATCCCCCTATAGTGCATTGATGAAAAGACAATGAGAAAAACTACACAGGTTAGAAAGTTAGTAGGGGTTATAATTTGTACTAGCAGAAAGAATATTACACCAATAAAGTCATGAATAATATGTCATTGTATCTAAGATAAATTAAAATGAATATCAAAAAATCACTGGGAATCCAAGGCTTGGAATATAAAGTCTTTTTCCTCCTCCAAAGCAATAAATGACTTATTTTTTTTTTCTTTTATTGAGAAAAGATCCAGACTCAGAAAGTATGTCTTTGAGGCAGTAGAAACCAAATGAAAATGGAATCATCAGTATAGACAGAGGAGAAACACCATGCAGAAACCAAAGTAGGAACACTGAATCTTTATTCATGTTACATTTTGCATGTAGGGCAAATTGCACGTGTCTAATGCCAATGAGGGCCTGACTGAATGGGTGTAATTATTACTAACACACTGCCTATTTGAGGCAACTGCTATTTTCAGTGACATTAATGCAATAGGAAACCTCAAACCAGAGTTTGCTTGGGATGTTTTCCTTTCAAGTTTACATGGAGACTTCTCAGTAGATCATTACAACCAACTTTAAAATTGAAAGCATTAGTCATTGTCTTAGAACATACTGTTTTTTCTAATGCCTTCGTGCAACAAGAAACAGAAATGGAATGTGCATTCTTCCCAGGTTAAATGAAGCAACAATTACATAAATTTACACTTTAAGAATTAAGAAACATTATTTGTGATATTGGGTTCTGAATAAAGAAGCCTTCAATACACAATGAATGAAGTGAATTTCTAAATGAAGGGTATGCTTCCATTCTGTTTACATAAAAATACATTTATCACTTTGGAGGCAGAGGCCCCCGCCTTCTTTCTTAGAACTTCATCAGCTGTGCTGCCAATGTCTGTTGGAGGATGTAGGGAAAGGGAAGGATGTTCATTGGAGACACAACCCAATTCTTCATGTTGGACTTCAATCTTATTCCGATTTAGGTCTCTCTTTACATTCTTCCATACCTAGAAATACAGGCAAAAACGTTTTGGGTTGCTTTTGTTTTTTAACATTAAGATAAAATAAGGGTTTGGGAATAAGCATTGGGAGGCAGTATGTTAGGGTGCACAGAGTTTAGGACCCAGAGAGTCTGAGTTCAGGTCTTGGCTTCGCCATTCGTTGCCTGTGTGGCGCGGGACAAGCCACTTCATACTTGCAGCCTCAGTCTCTTCATCTGTGAAAAAAGGATAATAATACCTGTTCTCCTTGACTTACAAGGGTGCTGTGAAGATCACATAAAATGATGTACATTGTAAGCCGGAAAATACTGTCTCGGTGTGAGCCATTGTTCTCTCTCTCTCTAAATTCCTTTTCTTCATTCTTCTCTAGGCATGGAGGGAAAGGAAAAGCCATCTGCCATGCTGATGTCAGTAGTTCTCCCCAAATTAACTCAGTGACCTCCCTCCCCACCATTTTCTTGAATCAGGCAGGGCTCTGCATCCCATGGCACACCCTGACTCCTACTGCTTCAGGGAGGGGGAACCTCACGCTGGCTCTTGAGCAATGAGGTGTTCACAGAGATGCAAAACAGAGTGCCTTGTAGCAATAGGAGACACATTCCATGACTTTCAGAATAGACATCTCTTGGGCTTAATTTTATTGTCTCTACCCAGGGAAAGTCTTTGGATTTAAAAAAAAAAAAAAAGCAAACCCAAATATTGCTCTCTTTTTTTCGTGGAGAAGCCTCCGCCTTCCTAAATTGCTTCCTTCTCTACACACGTGTACTCTTTTAAACGAATGCCCCTTCTCTAATACAATATAGGGAGAATTAGTAGTTTTCCTCCTGGGGGACTTGTCTGTGATCCCCAAGCCTCATCGCCTGTTATCAGTGTTGAAAGGAGTTTGAATTGGGGAATATGTTTAATTTTCCTGGCCATAAAAATGTTCAAATCATTCACATACTTGTTCTTGAGCAAGGAATTATTGTTACAATCTGGCAAATGCTCCCTAATTGTCGTTTCCTTTTCTCCTAGGTACTCTGGTGCCAAATAGCTCACAGATGGCTGTTTAAAACAACAACGACAACAACAAACCAAAAAACCAAAAATAAAAATAACCCCCCAGAAAACTTTCTTTTGGAGGTTTCTGAGACAGCTGTGTAGGGAAATTCCTAGTAGATTGTAGATTTAGAACTGGGGAGGACCTTAGAGGAAATCTAGTCTAATACCCTCTTTTTGCAGATGAGGAAACTGAGGCTCATAGGTATGAAGTGACAGGCTCGAGGTCTCACAGATACAAGTGGCAGATCTAACACTGGACTCTAAATTCAGCACTCCAAGTTCAACCGGGATTTGAACCTAGGTCTTCTGATTCCCAATCTAGCATGCCTTCTATTGCCTAACAGTGCTGGAGTAGGGGTGGGGAGCGTGGTAGGGGTGGGTGGGTGGAGGTGGCAGGAAAGAAGATATGAAATAATACACATGATGGTAAGAAGGCAAAGCTAGGGATGTTGAGAAAGAGTATAACTAAATTCTCCTTCAAGATGGAACATAAAGATAGGATTTAAGTCACGAAGGGGATCAAGAATGCCATATCCCTGGCCTCCTCCCACCCCCAATGGTAGTGATTGGGCAGCATGAGAAGTATGTCAGCCCTGGGCTGGGTGTGAGAGGAAGGAAGTTCTTGTATGTTTATTGTTTTTTTTTTTTTTTGGTACTACTAAGGCCTGGCAGATAGCTAGATCTTAACACCTTCGCCAGAAGGCATATCAAGTAGAACATCCAGATGCAGAAGTGAGAATCTTCAGGCATGATCCCATTTTGAGGTGAAAAATTCTCTAGATGTTGCCAGAACTTTAAATACAGTGATGGGTGTGGCCAATTCATGAGGTATCCATGGGCAGAAGTTGAAAAAAACACACAACAAAGATTCAACTCCGAAACAGCACCCTTGACTCAGGGGATCGCTCCCAAGCCTTGCATTCCATTCCTCCTTTGGGACCCTTTCCAGGAGCTAACTGGAGCAGTATTTTTTTTTAAAGGCTCTTTCCTCCAAAGTATTCGATTGCAGACGGAGTTATTTGGCACCAATGTTGGAATCTTCAAAACTAGGGGAGGAGGGCAGGGGGTGTTTCACTGACCCAAAGAAAGGGCAGACCGTTCCCCACCTACTATGGTTTGGCAGCTTAGGATGGAGTGGAAAAAACCAAAACAGGCGGTTATAAACTTTTTTTTTTGAGGAACAATGAACCTGATTCTACCCCACAGGCAGAAAATAGCCTATCACAAACTTGTGGAGGGCTTCCCTCCACATCTTATCTATCAAGGGGAAGAGAAAGGGGTAGGAGGATTGTCAATCACTCCTTCACTCTCTGCAAACCCTCTTTTCTTGACTGCCATAATTCTACATTTCTTGGGAGGCATAAGCCTGGTTGGGGACATAACTGGGAGTATGAAAGGGGTGGAGATGGGAGAAACTGTAGAGGTATGGTTCTGCTGTGGCATGCCTGATTCTACATGCCTGGTGCCTGTGGGGCCTTCTTCCTTGCTCCATCAGAGCTGGGTTTCTGGAACACTGATTTTTTCTGTACAGAACAAGTCTTACCTTATATGAGTCTAACCACCTTGGAGAGCCTCTATAGGTGGAAGGGAAGGTTTATTCGACCTCAAGTATAGATGAACTGAGTCAAAGTAGCCACACATGCACACAAACACACACATTCACACAAAACTCAACAAAGTCATCTCAGGTTGGATTTTTAATAAAATGTTTTAAATGCTATTTTCAGTGTCCATTTATTAAGCACATCTTGTTTGTTTCATGTTGGATTAGCCTATTTTTCTGGTTTAATTCTGTTCCAAGTTTTCAAGAAAAACCAAACCAAATCAAACCAAAAACAGTAACCCTGCTGAGATGCTGATGGTGCGGTGGAAAAAGCAATGGACTGGGAGTCAGGTCATCTGGATCTGGAACTTAGTAAGTAATTAACTTTGGGTGAATCACTAGACTACTCTAGGTCTAACTGCCTTCATTTATAATACCTGGAGTTAGACTAGAGGCGGTGTGGTGAAGAGGGCTGGATCTGGTGTCAGAAGAGCTGGGTTCCAATCCCAGCTCTGGTTGTGACTTTAGACAACCTTGGGATAACCTTCAATGGGGCTTCACTATCCTACCAGAAACATGAAGGTTGCAAAAATGAGGTTGCTTAGGTGTTGTCCCTGAAAGGTCAGCTTTGGTGGCGATCATACCCATTTAGCATTTAAATGTGATGGTGACCATCATGGGGCAATCTCACACTTCACCAAAAGCTTTGATGTCCCTTTTATTTCTATTTATAGCATGCCTCCTGACTTGGCAACACATATGCTCTTAAGCCAAGCTGCCCAAACCGTCTAAAGGCTGGATAGAATGATGCAAAAATTGGAAAATGCCTCTCTTGGCATCAGTTTTATTCCTTTAAGTAAAATGAAAGGGTAGAAATGGATCATCTCTAAGGTCCCTTCCAACTCCAAATTTTAATCCTACAATAAATTCCATGACTTCTTCAAAGATTCTATAACTTTACAATTTTACTTTGTGGTAGAAACAAGGTTGTACTAGTAAATATTTAACAACCAGCTCTCCAAAAAAAATGCATGACACACTTTTAAGTTTAATCTGCATCATTAACATTTTCTCCATCACTTTAGTAAGCCTAGACAATCAACAATAATAACAAAATCAACCCTTATTTGTAGCATTTGCTGATTTCTGAGGTATAGTCACACTGAAAATTTAACAACCAGCTCCCCAGTTTGAACTGGATCATACCCTCGGACGTAGCTAAATGGCTGGCAGCATCAAGCAGAAGAGGAGCAAAGGGTTCACAGGCAGTCTCTGAATAACAGAAAGCTGATTTTGATTTCTTTAAAACCAATTTTGCATGTGTACTTTCATTCCATTCAAAATATCCTGTTAAGTTAATTGGGGGCTATTAGTTCCATTTTACAAAAAGAACAACTATTAAATCACTTACTTTAGGTCACACAATTAGTCAGTATCAGTGTAGTATAGTGAAAAGAATGCTAGATTTGGCCTCAGAGAACTGAGTTCAAACCTCACTTCTCTTAAAGACTGTATGTATGACCTTGGGCAAGTCACTTAACCATTCTAGGCTTCTGTTTCTTCACCTCTAAAATGAAGGGGTTAGACTAGAGGAGCTCTGAAGTCCTTTCCCATTCTAAATCTATTATCCTGGTTTAGGATTTTTTTTAAGACCTGATCCTACCATTAGGTTCTACATTATAGACCACCTAACTCAAGCTCCTGCATGGTGTCGAGTAGACTATTTAGTAGTGAGACTAAAGAGACCTAAGGAAGGAGAAACTTGCAAAGGTCCCTATGCTATATAATCCTGGCTTATATTTTTTTGCACACAATTCTAGGACCCAGAGTCTACTTGCAGTATCCTACCTCTAAGGTACCCCTAAGCTTCTCCCTGAATGAAGCCCAGAGATCTTTAGGGTTTAGTATTTTGGTTAAAAACAACAACAAAAACCACCACCACCGCCACCAAACAAGCCCAAATTAGACTTAAAAACAAATCATGCTGTTGGATGTGCATTTGTTGTGGACTGAAACTGGAAAGAATCTGTGCTGCTGCTTTTTCCATCTTCTAATTTTTACATCATTCTATATAGCCTTGAGATAGTCTGGGCAGCTTGGCTAAGGGTATATATGCCTTACCAAGTCAGGAAGCATGCTATAAATAGAAACAAAAGGGACACCAAACCTCAGGTTAATGACAGTCTTTGGTGAAGTATAGGAATGCCCCATGACCGTCATCATCACATTTAAAAGTCAGGTAGGTACGACTGGGACCAAAGTCGATGTTTCAGTGATAATTGCCAAGCAACATTGTGGTTTTTGCATCCCTCATGCTTCTGGTAGGACAGTGAAGCCTCACTGGGTAAAGACTACAATAATGAGGGCTTAGGTATTAAGTGGAATGGCTTTGTTGGAGCAAATAACCATTCTGTTTGGGGTAGATGTTATGCCATTAAAAAAAAAAAAGGAATTCAAAGGATCATACCAGTCTTTCCCTTTAATACCTCACACCCTGCAAATAACACCCACCATCAATAGGCTGAAGCTTTTTTTCTGCTAGTTTTTAATGACTAATACCTAGTAACATCAAGTGAGTAGTAAACCTTTCAGACAATTGCCAGCAGCTCTTAAATTAGGGTTGGTAGTTATAAAAATGAAACACTATTCATAGGCAATTGCATGCACCCTGGAAGACATTTAATTCGCTGGAGGATTTATTTTATTTTATTTTATTATTTAATGATGAGGGAAGAAATAATCAGCAGTGGAATTCTACTTCAGTCTTTGGCCACATTATTCTTTCAGAAAGCAAGTTCTGTTGCTTAATGCTCCCCTAAACAATACTTACTCCTCTGAGTATCCCAGATATAGTTGTTGAGAACTTCTCCCAGCAGGTACAAAAGGTTCATTAAAACGGTTGCGATCCCAAAGAAGGTTATTTTGGCTCCTGGGCCAATGTGTTCCAAGAGAGGGTACACCCAAATCCCTGTTACATGATGCACCCAACACACCCTGAAATGGAATCAGAAAGGAGAAAAATCCAGAAGTTGCTGTTATGGGAGTTTCTTTTTTTCCTTCCCCCCCATTTTCTTCTGTTTCAGCTTTTATTTTTCTAATTTATTATTTATCTATTTTTAACATTCTTTTCTTTTTAAATTTTGAGTTCCAAATTCTCTCCCTCCCACCCACCCCCTCCCCCACCCACTGAGAAAGCAAGCAAAATGATATCAATTATACATGTGAAATCATGCAAAACATTTTCACGGCAGTTTCAAAGCTGATTTCATCCCCATTATGTATCACTTAACCCCATTCTCTCCCCAGGCTGCAAGTCTCAAGCTAAGTTAGCCTCTGCCGCCCAGGAGTGACTCTAAACAGTGTTGGGTTTAATGGAATTATTATATTTTTGTTATTATAGAGGCTACTTAATCTGGTCTTTACATATTAAAACAACACAGGCACCAGCCAAGTACATTCTATTCATCTGTGGTTGAGATAAAACCCTTGGCGTCTGTGACAGTTCTCCTGAAGTGAGGCTTTCTGAATTTATGCCAGTTCATGATCCTGAAGAGGTTTAACTAGCAATTTTTTTGATGGAGGGTGTAAATGGAGGACAATCACTAGAACGTGTGACTCCATTGGCATAGGGAACTGCTGGTGAGGAAATTACTTGCACCCTACACTAGGCAATTATTCTATCACTCAGAGCTGTGAGAGATAAAGGGACCTGAGCAGCATCACAAAAGAAGGATGTGGCAGAACTGGGACTCGAACCCAGGTCTTCCAGACTGCAAGGTCAGTTTCCTATGTGCTATGTATGCACTGGTGCCTCTCTTTACTAGTAAATGCAGAACTAACTAAGCCCAGTCATCACGGAAGGTGCAGGGAGTGCCAGAGATGAAGGATTTCATCTCCTGTCATCTCCTATCTGTGTGACTTTGGGCAAATTGCTTAACTTCTCTGAACCTCATTAACCTCACTTGCAAAATTAAACAGTTAGGCTACATCAGCTGTTCTTAACCTGGTATCTGTGAGCTCATTAAAAATTTTTTTTATAATTATCTTTTAATATAATCGATTTCTCTTTGCAAACCTAGGTATTTTATTTTATGCATTTAAAAACATGATTCTGGAAAGAGGTCCATGATACCCACAAAAAAGTTAAGACTTGATAAGTTCTAAGATCCCTTATGATCTGAATCCAAGATCTTACGATTGGTGGTTTTGCTTTATGAGGGTGACAACTGTTTTATCTCAATCCACCAGTCTCCGCATTCCCCATTTGAGATTATAATCTATAAATTCAAGGGATTTAGTCCCGGAAGGGACCTTAAAGATTTCAAGTTCAGCCCACTGATCTTATGGATAAGGCCACAAGAGGGCCTCTCTCCCTATTCAAATTTTCTTAGAGATCTTAATTGGCCGCAGCTGCGATCTACCTTGCATTATATTTATTTGTTCACCTAACACATCCGTGTGTGTGTGTACATATAAATGTGTATAGATACATATATACACAAACGTGTATGGACACACATAGGTTTTCTGACTCGAGATCAGTGTTCTTTCTGCCATATCATGTTATGTCTTTAGGCTATTTTGGTTGAGCACGTTCATCAACAGCAATAACCTTCACAGTTTTCTAATATTTAATCAGGTAGTCTGATATAAGAAGATGTAAGAAGTTTTGGATTGCTATTTTAATATCTGATAGTAGCTATTTCCAAAATAGGTTTGCCCTCCTTGCTTATGATATTTCATTTCTTCTCTCTGTGCCTTTGCAAGGCTGTACCCACATCTGGAACGTTCATCCTTCTCATCTCTGCCACTTGGACATTCCAGTTTCCTTCAAGACTGAGCTCAAGGACCACTTCCTACAAGAAGCCTTTCCTGAAGCGCTCCCTTTGTGTCTATTCATCTGTGTATATCCCACGGCAGAAGGCAAGTTCTTTGAGGGCAGGGGTCATTTTTGTTTAATCCTTCTTTATATCCTCAGTATTTAGCACAGTGCCTGCTTTATAGCTGATGGCAAATGACCGAGTTAAACTATTAAATATTTATTAAACAGTGTCAAAGTATTTACTAAGTTACATGTGAAAGATAAGAACTAGGGGCAGCTAGTGGTGCAGTGGTTACAGTACCAGCTCCGGAGTTAGGAAGACCTGAGTTCAAATCTGGCCTCAGACATTGACAGTTACTAGCTGTGTGATCCTGGGCAAGTCATTTAACTCCACTGCAGCCAAAAAAAAAAAAAAAAAAGATAAGGACTACTCCTCCTAGTTACTGATTGCAATATTATTTTGCATAATGGTATAATCCCCATCAGTCAAGGCAAAACATCCTTTAATTAAATCCTCTATGGCAGGGGTTATTAACCTTTATTTGATGTTATGTCACCTTAGGAGAGTTATTTTTTTAAAATAAAAAACATAGGATTACTAATTATTAAACACATAGGAAACTAATCATTTGAATAAAATATGCAATTTTTTTACCCTTTCCAAGTTCACTGTCTTTTTTTTTTTTTCCTAGGCAATAGAATTGTGACTTTGCTCAGGGTCACACAGCTAGTAAGAGTCAAGTGTCTGAGACTGGATTTGAACTCAGGTCCTCTTGACTCTAGGGCCGGTACTCTATCCACCGCACCACCTAGCTGCCTCATTTACTGATGCCCTGAAATCAATCTGAGGACCTCAGGTTAACAACTCTTGCTCCAGGGTCCAGTTAAGTTTCTAGGCACTGAATACCCTATCTAAAAAAAAAACTTAACAGCCTTCCCAGATATAAGCCAGGATTCCATGATCTTGATCCATTTGGATCAATTGGCACAATCTATTCTGCCCATGTGCCAGAGGGCGCTGTGGTACAAAGTGAGTTCTGGAGCAGGCCCACGGTTTTACATCAACAAAGTACCATCATTTGGAAGGCTTGCATGCTTTTTGTTTTAATGATATCTATGGGACACACTCTATAATTACAAAAAAAAAATAGGGAGAGTACTGAAGGCACACCAGGGGAACCTCCCCTTAAAGGCTGAAGAAATCCTGCTTGGGCAGCTTCATCTAATTTGTTGTAGCATGCAAACACAGCAGAAGGATTTGGACAAATGGGAGGCAGGTAATGGAGGAGGCTTGATAGGTCAAACTGTCCCTTGCATGCTCCTGGCCACAGCTTTATTAAAGAAGCAAACCATTAGTATCCACAAACGCCATACCCTGATTCCACTGGATTGTCTTTGTCTATGTAACTTTACCTAAACTAATGCAATTAGCTGGGCAGTTGTCAAGTGGCTTGTTAATTTCCTGATGGATAGTACAAAGATTTAGGGTTTTTCACATTGTGAGTCATTTTTACTAATTAGCTTATATACATTAAAGTCTCACTGGCTATAGAAGTTCCTGAGTTTGGCAATCTCGGTGTAATAAAAACTGTAGTTGCTAATTAGTTCTCACATTGATAATTACTCTTATTCTGCCTTCCTTCCCTATATAGTGGTCCACTCTTTTGTAGTTTTCAGTAATGATGATTTGCTCAGAAGTTACTGAGTTGGCTTCCAGCAAAATATTGGACCAGCTGATAAGATCAAGTGGGTGCTATATCAGCACCTACTTTCTGGGAGCTAGAAAGCTTTCATTTCATAGCTGGTATTGAATGATAATGATAATAGCTAGCATTTGTATAGAGTTTTATGGTTTGCAAAGTGCTATACAAATATTATTTCATTTTATCCTCACAACAACCTTGGGAGGTAGGTGCTACTATCATCCCCATTTTACAGACGAGGAAACCTATGCAGAGGTCTAGTGACCTGTTCAGGGTCACACAACTGGTAAGTGCCTGAGGCCAGATATGAACTAAAATCTTTAGGACTTCAGTCCCAGTCCTCTATTCACCATACCACCTAGCTTGCCAATTTATCATATCTTCCCAACAGAAATGAATGCTATCATCAGTGTTTACCTTTACTGTTGTATGGTTAATCCATCTCAACTATAGACATTCAGAAGCTTGGCCTTGCATTAAAACTTCAATAATTTAATCTTTGCTGAAAGGGAGTGCATTTATCAATGCAGACTCTCCTTTCCGCATTTGGATTGTTCTGTAAATTAACCTGGTTAGATTTTGATGATCTACATAAGGATTATGCATTGATTAAACTATTATATTATTATAATTGTTATATTGTTGTGAATCTTGAATCCTTGGCTGGGTTTCTGATGCCATTCCTCACACTCTCTAGCTTTCTCTACTCACAACCCAGATTGTCTGTCCTGAGAAAATATTCAATTACTATTCCAAAAAGCCTTGTTTAAGCACTTATTAAGTGCAAGGTACTGAGAGACTGGGGAATACTATACAAAAACAACAACAACAACAAAAAAAAAACATGCCCATTGTACTATGAGAGAGGCATTAGGGACTAATGGGAAGGGCAAGGACTTAGAGCCAGCTCAGTCATATTAACTGTATGTATAACATTGGACAAAGTAAGTTAATTCTTTGAGCCTCGGTTTTCCTATATGATGATAAAAACATATGTGTAGGAAGGCAGATTCTCTGCCTAACAAGATTATTGTAAGGGTCAAATCAAATAATGTATTTTACACCCATAAAATGCAATGTAAATGTATTTCATTATTAATAATGTATACTGCATTAACCTTGGAAAAGCATTACATGCAGTGGTGAGAAAATAATATACTCTAAAACCAAATATTCACAATTTCTAGATTATCTTTGTCGATGAATAACATGACTCCTTTTTTTGGGGGTGGAGGAGACCTAGATCTGTGATTTAATTCCTCTAGTAGTCCAAATCAGAAGCTTCTTTGCAACTTACAGGTTTGGAGGTACGCGGGGCACTCAGAGGTAAAGTAAGGTGCCTTGCTAGGGTCACACAGCCAGTATGTGTCAGAGGTGGCATGGTCTGAACCCAAGCCTTCTTGACTGTCTAGCTCTCTAACCCCTAAGTCAGGCACTACCACATTAGGCTGTCTCTTCACACCATCATC